TTGACTTAATAGTTTTAGAATGAATGCGTCTACCTAATATGACATTTTGAGAAACATATTTAGGAATCTATAATGAATATTCTTTATATCTTGTCTGTTCTACGCGTCTGGTTTACTAGATTTTTTTTTAAATCATTAAATATGCCGATTTCTCATGTTTTTATATTAATAAAGTACTGTCGTATCAATGGAACCGAGGAAAAAACAAATCCGGCGCTTATGTGTTACAAATCAAATCGAATATAGTTTATTTGCCTTTAGAGTAGGAACAGTTTGTTATGAAAGTGAAATAATTCGAATCATATTAATATTATGAATACCAAAGGTTGTGAGGATAAATGTATGCTTTTACTCTTACGCGCAAAACTACTGAATAAATTTTGATGAAATTGTAAGCCTGAATTATATATAGGCTTTTTATCCCACTAAACGGTCCCCTGGAGACCATGGTGGCGAAGCCGCTGGCGAAAAGTAAGTATGTATTTTTTTAACGTAATATTATTAAAATATATAATTTCTGTTTTCTCTTAAACTGAAAAACTCGCAAACATTGACGAGTATTGATTTCACGTTTCTACTTTTAAAATTTTCAATTAAAAACTACAGATAGCAATTACGGTAAAGTAAGTAACTCTTAAACTTTTCCATTTCATTAAGCTCCTTCGACCAAATAGCAGTTTCAATTGCCAGATGAGACCGTGTACCGAAGTGATGGCGTCTAAAACCACTTCAAGTCGGAGAGACCGTGTTATTGTTTTCTTTTTAATAAAAAGTTTTTAAACTTTTGAAACAACATGTTATTCTATAAACAACAACGACTGATACGTAATACAACGTAACTATGAGCGTATCAAGCAAACAAACGATAAGGTCTACAATGTCAAATGCGTTGGATTAACCGCGTGCTATGGCAGTACCATGTAGTTACTTAATATCCGTTCATAAAAAAACCGGAAAAGTGCGAGTCAGACTCGCGCACGAAGATTTCTGTACCGAAAATGAGCAAAAATTACGTTTCTTCTCCTCTTAAATATTGATTTTATTCTGTTTTTTTAGTATTTGTGGTTATAGCGGCAACAGAAATGCATAATTTGTGAAAAACGCAACTGTCTTACTATCACGGTTCATGGAGTATAGCCTGGTCATAGCAAAAAAAAGGAGGTTTGTTACATGGGAAACTCCTCTAATATTTATTTTACTTTGGTTTTTAAAATTTCAACTGTAACTTTCACGGTTCATGAAATATAAAATGGTGGTAAACAGACAGACAGCGAAGTCTTGGTAAAAGGGTTCCCGTTTTATGGCACGGAACTCTAAAAAAAAACATGTTTTGTATTGACTAGTAGTGAATCGACACTCACTGGACCAGTGGTTTCTAACCTAAACCCTCGTTGATGTAAATCTCTGCTATTAAATATGAACAAATTTAATGAAACCCTCATAATTTTGAACTTACTTTAAGTGAATCTAAATATAACATCAAGAATAATTTATATGGTATTGGTATGTTTTGATTTTGTAATTATTTATTATTTTAGATTTGACCAATTTCTATTTCTGTTATCTTGTTCTTAATTATTTTGAAATGCTGTATACGCCTATAAAGACACTTCATTAAAACCAATCCTTTATCTGTATATGATTTGTGTAATGTTGTAGCTGGTGTATCTGAATCAATAAATAAATAAAAATACAAAAGTGATGTATGTGAAATGGTAATAGTAATAAGAATAACCACTACTTATTAATAAAGACATGGCTATATATTTACTTGTAATATTTGTATTACAAGTCTTTTAAGATTGGGGTAAAATAAATATCCGGGTGTATTTTGCGAGTGATAAAAATGCCATTTAAACATAAAAATGTATCTTAGTTGTAAGGCATAGACAAGAGAAAACAAAGCATAAAAAATAATATATCTAGGTATTATATCATAGACACTAATCTAGCCTCTTTTTTAGTTTAGTTTTAAATTCCGTAAATGAAATTACAGAACTAAAGACCATTTTTGAGGCTTATACGAACTCAAGAAAACGGGACCCTTCTACTAAGTCTCCGCTGTCCGCAATGGTACGGAATTTTTTTGATGGTCGAGTACCGGTTCTCATTTGGCCGGTTTTTTTTAAGAGTTTAGTTTAGAGAGTATTATATCAGAATTGATAATATACTGCTGGAATAATTCTTAAAATGAGCTTATACTATCCTTAAACAAAAACTTTTTTCTATTCTATTATATTTTCAGGAATTTTTAACGATTTCATTGCTATCATATGTATTCTCTTCAGAATACTGTACAAGCTTTTTTTCCAGCGGTTTCGCCCTGGTCCTGTATTATACATATAAACCACCTTCTTAATCCGCTCAGTCTTTTAATGAAAATTGCATTAAAAATTTGTTTGCGTATAAATAGACAGCGGGAAACGACTTTGTTTTATACTAATGTAAAGAGAGATAGATGAGAGGAAGTATGAGTTTGCACGTACCTACACACTCGCGATTACACTTTCGCCCGAGCACAGACCGCATTGCAGTGGAATACCAAATTGTCCGTTTAATTTCGCCGAATGGAGGCGATTATTCAGTTTGTTGTAATAAATGTATTGTGGATTTTGTTTAACGTTTCATTTTAATCCGCCGTTTTTATGTCCTAAAATTCTACTGTTCAATTCGATTGCGAAAAAATAAAATAATCTCTTTCTTATAAGAAGGACACAATCTACAGCAATATTCACCCATTCAATTTAAAGTTTTAGAAAAAAGTGACATTTCCTTAATATTTTTTTCCATTTTTTCTCACAGCAAGTCCTATTTTTTAGTTCCATTTAAAAATATATATATTGTTCTTATATTATTAACAATTTCGAGTTTATTTATCGTGGTTGTCGTCGTATTATTAGGCGTCGTTGGACAATGGTCACTGACTCAAAATAAAATAAAAAAATTGTGGAGCAAGAATAAATCTGTTTCAGTTCCACTTTGGTACGATTTATAATAAAGGATCTTTGAGGAAGAGAAGTGATAAATATAATTACAAAGAGTATCACTGCTATCGAGACAAAGAAACCGATAACACGTCGGCGCGGCGGCGGCGAAAAGGTGAGCCATCGTTATTTTTTGCACTCTATTCAAAAACCAAGTCCCTTTTATAACTATTTTCTATTGTTAATGAGAATATATTAATTAAAAGTAGTACTTATTCGAAATCACATTACAAAGATGTTGGATCGTAGCTGTGAAGTGTTTGAAGTTATTCGAATTGTCTGATAATTTTCTTTCTTATGTAATAAAAGTAAACTGAGTTTCGAGAATTACATATAAAAGCTGTTTTATTAATAGAAGCAACGAAAATAAATAAATCATCACCTTTTCAGCTCTTCGTGTTTCTTGTTATATCGAAGTTTTGAAAATTAATTGGCTCTTTTCAACTACAAATTTCAAATTTTTCATAGGTTATATGATCCAAGTGTACAAAGGAATCAAATTACAGCCTTTCGTCAACCTTAGATCATAGAAATACATTGATACCATCGTTTCGTGCTAAAAAACTTATTATTTATTTTATTATTACCTTTTTTATATTTCCTCATTTTCAAGAATGCACGCGTTGGTACTAGTAAATAGATGTAGGTCTGCAATACAATCTAGACTAACTTTAATTACGTGTGGTGCCGACGTAATTAAAGTGATTTATATTGTATTTATATATTTTTTATTTGTGTATAAATTTTAGGCCGTTTCTCTATCTATATTATACAATAATAACAAGGCGGGGTTGATATATAATCACGAAATTTTATATCCAATCCTCATACTTTGGTACTGGAAAACCTAATTAATAGATATAGGGAATGACAGAGGTGAAAGGCTATTAACAGTTTTAATTTAATATGGTATAACCGGCTATCTATAAACTGTTAAACGTGCGAATATCTTAAATGAGAATTATTGACTATACAAACTAAGCTGCGACATTGAAACTACGCCACTCCTTATTAGCGAAATATAATGATTTTACCGACTTTAAACTACTATACCATTCAATATATTTTTAATAACATTTAAACATCTCGGTATTGAATTTGTTTTGCGGTCTTTCAAAGTTAAATGAGCTTAACCTTTATGCTAATTAAACTTTTTGACTGATAGAGATATTTAGTGATGAGATATTTTAAATTTAGTAACGAGAGTAATAAGTATAAATTTCATAATCCTATCCTATATCTTTATATCGGATCCCTTTTAGGGTAGGTAGAGTGAACTGAGCACCGCGAGGATGTAGGTAGGTAGGTATAGGATGGTATAAATTTCACCTTTACTACTCTTCATAAATGCGCCGGTTTTTATGAGTATATAAGATCATAACGAAGTCTATAAATTATATAAAACATGTTACCTAGATGGAATAATGCAAAATCTTAAACCATTTTATAGATGTTTAATACAGTTACATCCTATTATTTTCACGTACAAAGAAGAGTAAATTACCAATTTGTAAAATAAAGTTGAATCAAGTTTTAATACTTTATATTAAGATATTGCCTTATTTCATTTCTTACACTACATTTTTATCATTACATCATTACAGAAAAATAAAATTAGATAAATTTGTAACTATAAAAATTAAAAACTCAAATTAAAAATGAAACTTACGCTTTCAAATCCACATAACACAGGGGAAGGACAACACCATGCTGGATGAAAAACTGCCTCCAATTGACGGTTACAAAACACAACATTAGCAACATAATACTCTTACCATTATTTTCGATAGGTAAAGTAACCTGTAATCTTAATAATACAAAAAAAAATATAGAAAAGTTACTACTTCTTCTGGAGGTGGTGCGATGTAACGCAGACGCACAATTTTAAACCTTGTTTTGATAATTGACCGATTTGCATTTTTAGCATACGTTTCAGTTATTATGTCAAGGAAAAACTTATCGAAATATATGGATAATGTTTCAATATAAACGGAGGTCATTAAAACATCAACAATTTAGACTGGAAGTTTCTAATATTTAATAATATCAAAACCGTCCTCAAAACTGTGAGAAACACTGTCACTCAAATATGATTAACAAAATAAATAACATTTCTATTAATCTCTATCTTTGCATCACTTAATCTAATATTTACATAACACGTTTCCCTAAAAACAACTTTCTTCTCTTATACGGTAATATCACAAATATCGTCTCTGCCGATAGAAGTGTCCTTAATAACGAGAAACAAATTAACACTATTGTATAGTCAGTGATCACTGTAGACGTCGTCCTTGTCATCGTCCTTTCCACCTGAAATTATGGAAATTAACATAAAAGAAATAAATAAAAAATAAAACGTCAAAGCATGCAATCGAAACGAACTAAGCTTAACTTCATGCACCAGTGGAAACACATTTGTGAAGTAAACTGGACGTTACACGTTGCAACATTGACAAATAAAAAGAAGTAACTAAAGTTTTCAATAAAGCTTTCGTGAATTGAATCAATAAATTGGTAAACACTAATCTGTTGTAGTTTGATGAAGATGAGTGGAAGTGATATAGAAAAGACTTACTCAAATATGGCTCGCCCATAGTGCCGGGAAGATACGGGCAGCTAGTGACGTGGTTGAAATTCTGAGACTGCATTTCTTCTTGGTCCGTCTCGCGATGATAGAAGTAGTTGAAGTTGGATACGATGACGGGAACGGGCAATGCAATCGTGAGGACACCAGCGATGGCGCACAGCGAACCCACGATCTTACCCCAAACGCCCACGGGCCTACACAGAAATGTTGTTATTAAAATATAGCCTACCCTCTCAGTTTCGGCTAAATGCATACAACAAACTACGATTCATGTTAACAAACTAAATATGGTGATGATATGAACATGCGTTAATGATACATACCTCGTAACGTTAACTACTAACAAAACTAAAACTTAGAACGAGTTCAACAGCTAGAAAATAAAATTACGAATAGAAACCAAGGACGAACTAAAAACCTAAACGGGTAACCTGGAAATAGTACATACATAAGGAATATTTAGGCACAATTCGCTATGCATCATGTCAGTGTATCGCAAGCAATACAATTTCATTCGTCACCTTTCATACTCGCCAGCATGTTACACAAAATGTAACAGTTCAATTGTCGCTTTGCAATAAAAGGTCATCGCCAGCAAAGAACATTCGGTTAGAGGAACAAACCTGTATTGGTCAAATATAACGGTCGAGTCTATTGCAATTACGCCACCTGAATAAAGCTTTGCTATTATATGGCGCAACTGAAATAAATTTCCGATACATTTGAGTCTAAGAGGATGTTTCTTCAACCGAACGTTTGGATGATAGGCATAGTAAAGGGGCACTTGAACCGAAAAACTAAAAGTGAAAATAACACCTGAAAAACTACCAACATTTTTTCCTACAACTGCCTAGGGCACACAAGTTCATGCATTGGATAATACATGAGTAGACCTCTATCGAAAATGGTGTGAAAGCTAACAATGGGAAGCTGACGATAAAAAAGCAGTGATAAAAAGAACATCAATTTTACATAGTAGCCAAATGTAAAATTTACCTACCGCTCTAAGGACAAGGGATGTTGCGGGAAATTTATGAATAACTAACAGAGAGAGAAGAAATAATATATTCGAAATAGATGATGCATACAAGCAAAATAACTCTAAAGTCGCACTCAAATAAGATAATATAATAGGCGATAGTGCGAATCCTTAAGAACGTTCACCATTTTCGATGAGCTATAATTCAGCTGATATAATTTGAACATTTTACAACACCGACTTTGGGGAAACATTTAAATTTAGCAAAAGCGTTATAGCGTACGGTGGGTAAAGGTGGAGTTCAATAACACGGACGCTTCACTTCAACTCTATTTGTGATTCTACTACATCAACGTGATTCGGAGCTTCATCAGAGTTGAAGTGTACTCGTATCACAATGAAAGCTGTTCTCTCTCACAATATACGCTTTGGAAAGGGCGATTGTAACACCGACGACAGATAATGTGGTATGTGGTATGCTCAGTATCAATATACCAACCAAATATAGTTCATTACACTGGTGCAAAGGAAATTTTACAAATATGCTTCCATGTAAAATTGCAAGGTTCAGGAATAGGATATGCTGTAATACATAATGTATGTAACAAGATATTCAAGAACGTTTATAAACGTGCAGTATTTATAAAGAGCGATAATGTGAAGTGATCGGTTAAGTTCTAAGCGAACCGTCCACAAAACTAAATCGAAGCATATGTATAGTTATTTCATGATGTGGCGAAAGAAAATCACAATTGTGTTAAAATGCCAATGTAGGATTGAAGGAATAAAAATGAGATGACGAGAACGCAAATACGAAATTTAGGATGATGTCGCTGTATCATACGTCATGTCTCCGTATCCTACGGTCGTCATTGTCACGACCGCCCACCAAAACGCATCAGGTATGGATTTGAAGAAGCTGTTCTCACTTCCGGCTTCCGCGAAGTACACCGCAGATGAAAACAGCACCACACCTTTAAGAACAAGCACACACCAACGGAGAATACAGTGCGACATACAGTGCCAGGGAGCTGCGAGCGGGCGTAGGGCGGGTACGCGACGCGGGTTACCTCATGTCTCCATAGCCGACGGTAGTCATCGTTATTACTGCCCACCAAAATGCATCGGGTATAGAAGAAAAATTGGAATCAGCGCAATCTTTATCAGCAAAGTAAACGGCACTGGAGAAAACGATCACCCCTGCGAACACAAAATGTATTGTGCACGCTCGCTCGAGACCCGCGTCGCCGCCGAGCCCGCACTCGCCTCCGACGCGTCCGATACTTCATAACCTCCGATTGATTACTTATAAACTCCATCATACTATTTGAAATTATTGGTATGACATAAAGTAGATAACCATTATTTTATGTGTTAGTTTAAAATAAGTAAATTATAAACATATGTTATATAAATTTGATATTTCCATGATACCTTCCGCTTACCTATGAACAAGAAGAATATTAAAAGCCCGAGCTCACGCATAGATGCCTTGAGTGTCCGACCAAGGATCTGTAATCCCTTGGAATGACGTGATAGTTTGAAGATACGGAACACTCGTACAAGACGAATGACCCGCAAGATGGCAAGGCTCATGGCTTGGTTGGTGGATTTGTCTTGTGGTGACACTGGAGCACGGGGCAGGTTTAGCGTGTCTTCTTCTTCGGCCACTACAGTTGCCAAGGTTATGAAGTACGGTATGATGGCGATTATATCGATTATGTTCATCACGTCACGGAAAAAGTTAAATTTATTCGGACACGCTAAGAATCGCACTATCAATTCAAACGTAAACCAGATGATACAAAGGGTTTCGATCAAGAAGAATGGATCGGTGATATCGGGTACTTCGTCCTCTTCGATTTTGGTTCCGTTTGTGGTGGTGTTGAACACCTTGTAGTGTTTAAATTCAGGCAAGGTCTCAAGGCAGAAGATCACGATGGACAGCAAGATGACAAATACGGAGATAATAGCCACTACGCGAGCGGCTTGGGAGCTCTCGGGGTATTCGAACAGCAACCAAATTTTGCGCTGGCGCTCGTTGGAGGGCAGAGGCTTTTCTTCCTCCTTTATGAAACCCTCATCCTCACTGAAATACATAAGGGAATGTTTACTCTGTTGTCCTTATGTAGATTACTTATGAATAATTTTTAAAGGTTTGTACCGAAATTTATTAATGGCCTGCTCTCCGAGTTCGTAGAATTTGATCTCCTCCGAGAAGACGTCTAAAGGAACATTGACCGGGCGCCGCAGTCGGCCCCCGCTCTGATAGTAGTACAAGATGGCGTCGAAAGATGGTCGGTTTCGATCGAAGAAGTACTCGTTCCTGATACAGAAAAAACATCTATCATTATCATTACTCCTTCTAGCTATGCGGTTTAATTATAATATTTTTTATTATATTAGTATTAATTAATTTTTGTCAATTAACTATAAATGTAATATTTCCTATATTACATTTATAGTAAATTGACAAAAATTAGTTTAGGAATTATATCTAGCAAACAACTAATGTTCTTACCGTAAAGGGTCAAAGTATCGTATTCTCCGGGTAGGGTCGCCCAGAAGTGTTTCTGGGAATTGGTTCAACGTGCGAAGTTGAGTTTCGAACTTCAAGCCGCTGATCTGTAGACAAAAAAGGTTTTCAATGCAGTTGCTCATAATGCGCTGTTTTTTTAATCCATTGTAAACACCGAAAGTGAGTCTTTAAACACGTGTTCAATAAAAATGTACTGAAATCCTTTACTGCACACGTGCTTAAAAGTATTCTTTTATTTTTTTTTTGGCCGAGCAACAAAGAAATAAAAAAAAAGAAATTGATGAAAATATGTCAAACTTTAGAGGCAAAAATATTTCAAGGACCCTAGAACGAATATTCTCAAATAAAAATGTATGACACGAAAACATGTTCAAATATCACGTTTAATTTTAACAAATAATTTTTAGCTTTAATACATACTTAGTTTTATTAACCTATTTATTTGTTTTATTTCCTCGCAAAAAGCATTGAAAAATGTTTTAAGAAACTTGAGCGTAAAAGTTTTTTCGAATTCGTGCCAATGAAAACCCTCGTTACGCTCGTGTTCTCAATTTGGCCCTTATTCGTAAAACCTTACTTTCCGCACTCGTATCTTAAATAACTATTATCAGGCACTTATTATTTCATGTACCATAATAACAATAATAATAGCAGTTGTTACTAAATGTATGTATATTTGTTGTCTTAATCGCATCATGTTTACCCATCCTCCCGTAATTATGATCACTAGTTACAAATATTGATGCCGATGTTACATAAGGAACGTAAATATTTACTATATATCTGCGCTGTTCATGCCGGTAGTGCATTGCAAGTGCTGAATCCCTAATAGTCAATGTAAATAAAACATCAATTGACGCTCCAAAACGTAAACAACAACGACCTTGCCCGCTGATGAGCGATGAGGAATAATTAAATACATTATTAACATTGATGGTTCATTCCGTACAATATTAAAATTAATTACATTGTTTTGATATTTATTATTTGCTACAATTTTTTATAAAGTATTTAGGTTTCAGAGTGACGAAAATCATATTATACCTAGTTTATATAGTACTTTATATTTATAGTACTTTTAGTATAGTATTTTATAGTACTTTTAGAGTCGGCCAACAGAGCAATCACAAGGATTTCGTGAGGTTTTTTGCGTTAATATAGTAATGATAGAAATATTTACATGTCTCAAACGAATTGTATTTATGTTTGAAAATCAATATAAAATGATAAAGGGTTACACTTTTATTATTTTTAAACTATTTTTAGAGCGTTTAATTGAGAAATAACATCAGACAGTCAGAGTGTAAATTAGCTTCGAGGGCTGCTAAATACTCGTTACGGATCGAATAAAGTATGCTTTGAGGGCCGTTTAATTTCAGACTGAACGAAGGCAATTTGAACAGGTCGCGTATCAAGCTGTTCAAAGGGAATCCAAAACACGAAAACAAGTAAAAAGCCAAATGTAAAACTTTCACTGGAAATTAAAATGTTTTACGATTGCAAAACTTAATTGCGATCCGTTACTTGATTGTCATAAAATACATAATATTCTGGACCACACTAATATGGAAATTAGAAACCACAGGCATGTTCTGTACCAATAGTAAAGTTTATCTTTCTTTTTATTTAAAAAGAATAGTATCTATACATTTATGGGTCTATTTAAGCACACCGAAATCTACGATCAAATGGTAGGGTAAATTTTCGCTTATTATATGTAACATGCTGAATAATTTTGTGTCCAATCCCGAGCCTTTAATGGAAATTGATCTCAGTAGATTTAAATTTGAAACCTTAATTAGAAGTACATCACAGGAAAAGGTTGAAGCAAAATATTAATAAAATACAGTAATGAAAAGAACATTTAAAGAGGTGTTGAATACTACGCTCTTAAAATAGCTCTCATTGCAAAGCTTTTAAGTTCATAATTTAGCCTATTAAGCATAGCCTGAAAACTCTTAAATTTTAGCTAAAAGTTTAATTTCAAAAAGAAGGATTTTCCGTGACAAAATTACTTTACTAAAAACTACTTTAATATTAAAATTGTGAATAAAAAAAAATCACACAATAACCTCATATTTTATAAAATAAGGTTGCACTCTCAGTTTCATTAGGTTCTACTCTTGTCGCCTAGCAGTCGATTTTGATACGTGGGACTCTCCTTTGGTACCCAAAATGCGGGTTTGCTCAATAGGCCTACCGAAAAAACACCTACTTCGTACCCTCCCATGGGAATGAGACCCCGGAAATTTATAATTATATTACTGAACACTATTTGAAGGAAGGTGTATGATTCCTGAAACTAAAAAAGCGTTCATATACCAATGTATTAATACCGCCGACTGTATTGTGTATGTATGTATGTAGTTATATATTTTCTTTTACTCGGCGCTAGATCGAGCGGAACGTTTTTAAAACATACAGTGAAATGCTTTGTTTACCGGATGTCCGCCATTCCTCTCAATCGGAAAAATTCATAGCATCGTCAATGTATGTAATGTAATGAGAAGAAACCAAACGCAATCAATTAATTTGCAAGAAATATGGTTACTCGCATGGAAGATTTAAATATGCCCGGCTTTCGGAGAGAAATGTAAATGTAGACATTTTTCTGTAAAGTGCCGGAGCATAAGAAGAGTTACAGAAAGTAATGAATGATATTGATCCGATTTTTCTAGGTGTGGTTTTTGTAAACTCGATAGATAATACACGTGAGTGGTCTATAACTTTAGGAGTTAATAATTTTCCATTGCAGGTTAAAATGGACACTGGAGCACAGGCAAATATTTTATCAGCTAGATCACTATTTTTCCCAGGTATAGATAACAACGAGTAGGTCAGTGGCGTAGTGGATAAGCGCTACGGCCCGCGATCGTTGTCGTTAAGCAACTTTCGCAAGGGTCGGTCACGGGATGGGTGACCAAAAAATTATTGTCTCGAGCTACTCCGTGCTTCGGAAGGCACGTTAAGCCGTTGGCCTTGGCTGCATTTGCAGTCGTTAATACCCTCCAATCCACATTGGGCCAGCGTGGAGGGTCATGGCCCATCCTCCTTAACCATCCATAAGGAACGCCCGAGCCCTTGCAGTGGGGACGTAAAAGGGCTGGTGATGATGATGATAGATAATAATAATCTATTACTAGTAAAGGTTCAATTAAATACATACACAAGCGAAGGTATTCCATGTCTGGGTCGATATTTTGTAAGTACAATGACAAAATTAATTTTTTATTTATTTCTGGATACTCCATTATTATTTTTGGATTAAAAGCGGCTATAATTATGCAATTTGTTAAACCTATGTGTGAAATAGATGAAAAAGTAGTTTTTTTTTACAGGAATTTAAAGACATATTTGGAGGATTAGGTTGTATTAAAGGGAAGTATGATATTAAAGAAAATTCAGTGCTTTTCATAGATGCACGTGGTAAAATACCTTTAGCTGTATAATTTCGTTTAGAAGAAAAACTTAACGAAATAGAACAACAAAATGTTATGTGAACACATCCAACTGAGTGGGTAAATTCTTTAGTAATTGTTTACAAACCGAATGGTGATCTAAGATTATGTATAGATCCTAAAGATCTTAATCAAGTTATTATGAGGAAACATTTTGCCAGCATTTGAGAATTGCAAGTAAGTTGACAGGTGCAACTGTTTTTAGCACGTGAACTATGAGAAATGGCTTTTCAAATTTTAAATTATCAGAGGCCAGTACTGATTTGTGTTGTTGTAACACACCATTTATTAAGTATACATTTTTAAGAATGCCATATGGTTTGTGCAGTGCTTCTGAAGTTTTTCAACATAGAACACGAGAGATATTAGAAAATTTAGAAGGGATTGAAGTTTTTAATGACAATATATAATTTGGGAAAAATCAATCACAGCATGATAGATGGTTGCGTTTAGTTTTAGACAGATTGAGACAAAGAATGTTAAATTAAATAAAGATAAATGCTTTCAACTTGAAGTTAAATATTTGGACCATTTGGAAAAGTCCTCAAAATAGAAAGGAGCTAGAAAGGCTTTTAGGTGTTGTAAATTATCTTTCCAAATTTATTTCTTATTTTGCTGATGTAAGTTCTCCTTTAAGAAATCTTCAGAAGAAAAATAATGAATTTGATTGGTTAGATATTCATGAAAAGGCAGGCAGTTTTCAAAACTTGAAGCAGAAGCTTGTTTAGATGCGTCAAAGGATGGTCTCGGAGTTTTGTTTTACTACAATATAATCTTCCTGTTGCATATGCAAATTAAAAAAATATAACTTAGAATTAATTTATAAACGTGGTAAAGAATTATATGTAGCTGACACTTTGTCAAGGTCATATGATATCAGTCATTCTTTCGAAATTAGAAATTGATTATGGTTACAAATATTATTAAAAAATTCTGTTTATTATATTATTTGTGACCCGTTATATCTAAGTGTTGTGATTCATTTAGGGTAAAGGCGAAAAATGCTAGTGTTTACACTCTCTACATTTATGTATTACAAAAATGTTATTGAGGTCACGAGACTGTCTTTATTGGCCAGGTATATTTAACGATATTCATAATTTGGTTTCCTCTAGTGATATTTGCAAACTTCATAGTAATAATAGTAGGAAAGAGACCCTGATACCACACGACATTGCACATTATGCATTACAAAAAGTACCAGGTGATTTATTTGAATTAAACGGGAAAGAGTATTTATTAATAATTTATTAATTTCACCCACCCCACCATATAAACAGCAACGCCTTGTTGCGAGTTAGCCCGGGTTTAACCGCAGTCTGTGAAGCCTGACCGACCTTTAATCACGATCTTTTTCACACGTTCTTGTCGTACGTGATCCACTTTTCGTCATCAGTTATCAGCTTCAAAAATCGTTAGGTTTAATTACGCCGTAATAAAAAATCACAAATGAGTACACGGATCATTAGTTTTGTTTTAGGAAGCACGTGAAGTACCTAAATACCTAAATTTTTATGTGCCCAGCTTTTTCATATACGCCAAAACTGTTTATTGTATATCCCTAGTTCTTCAGCTACGCCGTAACTGCTGATATTGCTCCACTTTTTAAAAATGGCATAGATTCTATT